ATTAGGTTTGACACCATCTGCTGGCTCAAGCCCAATAGGCTGGTAGGATAATGAGAAGTCACAAAGGAAATAATATGAAATTTATATTTAATTTACTAGCGGAGTTACCCGTGCTTCGCTACGGTGTCTATAGAATTTCAGGTGATTTGAATTGATTAATTTAGATTTTATATATAGTTAAGCAATAACTACTCGGCCAAATCTAATTACTCAATCGAAGCAACCAAAACCACCAACCACTCAGCTAAATCTAAAACTTAACTTATCAAATCAGCCAATAACTAATTTCCCCCAAAGCTAAACTGTATCCTATCGATTCGACCAAAAACCATCAACCCACTCGGCCAAATAAAATAAACCTTTCAAATCAATTAGATTCTAAATTATTTTAGTTTTTATATTGGTAGATAGCTATAAGTTCAGAAACCATTAAACATATTAAAAATTCCAACCTCCAACCACTTAGCTAAAATCAATTAAGCCTGCCAAATTAAATTAAACCATCAATCACCTACCTGAAGCTATTGAGCCTATCGAATCAACCAAAAAATAAACCACTACTCAGCAAAAACCAATTACGGAACTTACAACAGCCAAAAACTACCAACCCCTTATCAAAAACCTATGAAAAAATCGAAATAAATGAATATGAAAATACCCAGCCAAATTGCTATATAAATATATTAGAAATATATGTTCTAGATCTTAAATAAAACTGATATTTAAATTTATATGATTATTTTGAATAATTACATATTAGCATTCCGTTCCCAAACTTTATAGAATGCTTGTGCCAAGTTTGGTGATTTTTGGTTATTTGCTCGAGATAATGCATCCGGTATAAATAAATAAACAGAATGACAGTTGTAAAGAAAAGTTTGGCTAATTCTTGCTGATACCCAGTTTAGCACAGATTTGTTTTTGGGCCTTAAGTTTACCTGATGATCCTAATCAATTCTTTTTTATATTTGTAGATGGTTATCGACAATATTAAAAAAATCAAATTATATTGAAACAATATAAAATTACCAACCATTCAGCCATACCCAATTAAACCTATCGAATTAACTAAACCACTTAGCTAAAACCATTAGATTAAAAATCAACCAATCATCAACCGCTTCGTAACCAAAACTAAATATATTGAAACATCCAAAATCACCAACCGTTTACCAAAACCAATTAACTTATCGAATCAACCAATCACTAACTTCTGTATTAAAACCGTTAAGTTTAATCAACCCTAAACACCAACCGTTCGCCAAAACCATTTAAACTATCGAATCAACCGAATATCAAACTTCTCGGCCGTAACAATATACCGATTTCCATTAAAAATATATAAGATTTTCACTTGTTACATATAAAACTTTTTATTTTACTAATAAAATAATATTTTTTAAAATTCATAAACCTTCTCAGGCATGCACACAACAACTCACCAAAGTTTCATCACAATTGGATGAATGGTATAGGAATGCATTCGGGACATACATACACACATACATTCATTTATATATATATAGATGTCTGGATTAGGTCCAAATATAAACTATAAGCAACTTAGAATATACAGTGCTGAGTATATCTATATATATATTTTTCCCATGTTTTAATAGTTATTCTGCTATTCGGGGCGGAGACAAATCCAACAAAGCAAAGATCATAAAAATTGGTCCAGCCGTTCTTGAGTTATAAATGGTGTAAATAACACGACTTTGTTTTATATATATAGAAGATAACAGTTAAATTCATCCACAGGCTAATTGCAATAGTGCACTAAATTGATAGGTTTGGCCTATAGACTGAATTAATTAATTTAATGCACTCACACAGCAGTAAAAAAACTACTCATGATGTTCAAATTTTACCAATTGAGTTTTAATAATAGTACACTTTAAAGTTAGTAATCTGTCTGGCATAAATACCATAGCCAATTTAAAAAATGAAAATAAAAGAAAATTCTACTATGTAGTATAATTATCAAGATTTTCTCTGGGTTAGGTAAAAGCCTTGTCCAGGGGAAGGGACAATACCTCCATTTGATGGGCACAAATCCTAAATGGGTTGATAAGTTCAAAAATGGGGTTCAAATCTATATTATTAGCTGGTATACTAAATTTGAAGTTTTACATGAATTAATTCAAATTTGAGAAATCTTTGTATCACCATTTCCTAAGTCATGTGAACTGGGGTTTTCACTGATCCAGTCACAAGAGTGGCAAGATCCAAGTAAGGTTCAAAATGGTGGTCAATCCAGAAGACCAGAAAGGATCCTTAATGGATAGTGCCATGACAATCCATGAGGTACCATATCCCCGCACACCCTATAAAAATCAATGCATGTTAGCCTAATAAAGTACTTTTTTAGTAAAATTTAATTTAATTTTATCTTATTTTATTTAAGTTTTATTCTATTCTAATGAACAAAGTCTTATCCAATGTGCATAAAGCTGCCTCTGTCCTCTCAGCTGACCATAGCCTCCTGCAGTCAGCTACCATAAATGAGTTTCCCAGTATTAGCACCAATGAGTGTATCTAGCAGAAACTCAATATCTGGTGCTCACTACAGAGAGGCTTCCAAGGTGCACCCTGAGGAGTTACCCTCAACCTTGGATAAAAATTAACCTACAGTGAGTACTCCAGATGCTGATCTTTTGACCTACCTCCTCTGAAATAGCCAAGACTCAGTAACAGTAGGGGCCAATTTTTCAAAGAAATTCTTTGAGTGTGTCCCAGAAGAATTTGTACACTTCAGAACTCCCATTCAGTTGAAACCTTTGCTTGACCTGTTAAATATATCTGAAATAAGAGAAAAAAATATTATTGAGTAAAAATACCAGCCTTATAAAGAAAAAAGATTAATGAAGGTAATATTTTATTACAGGGATTAAGCATCACATTTCAATTGATTGGGAGTTCTGAAGTGTATGAAGTCTTCTGGGACACACTCAAAGAATTTCTTTGAAAAATTGGCCCCCACTGTTACTGAGTCTTGGCTATTCCAGAGGAGGTAGGTCAGAAGATCAGCATCCAGAGTGCTGGCTGTAGGTTGATTTTTGTCTAAAATTATGCCTAAAGCTGCCCCTGTCCTCTCAGCTGACCATAGCCTCCTGCAGTCAGCCACCATATTGGGTTTCCCAGCATTAACACCAGAAAGCACATCTGGCAGAAACCTGATAATAATACTTTATAATATTTACAGTTAAAATAAATTGATATACAGGATAAGTAGTATAATTACAATTATATGTTTGATACAGTCAAAATTATTATACTTTGTACTTTTTATTATTAAAGGTCAAATGATCACATAAAATATTAGAGTAGCATTATATTGAAACAATATGCATTTAATACGTTGCCTAAATTAATATAGTTATATACCTAGCTTATACTTATATCACAAGATTCTTATTCAAGGTAAGAAAGCCAGCACAGTTTTTTTATCAAATAACATTAATTTCTTTTAAAAAACAAGGTTGTATAGTGTAATGGTGTATTGTCAATCTTATCAATCTGAATGGCATGCTGGAAAAGCGCCAGACTATGCCTCAAGGAGAAAGTGCAGGCAATAAATGTTTTCATCTTCTCAAAGTTGTGGTATGTTGCTCATGTGCTGACAATGAGCTCAAACTTAGAGAAGAAAATCAGGTCAATGCTCCAAACTTTCTGTGGTTCAAGGCAAAGGCAGCGCCAATATCACTGGAAGCCCTGTCAAAACTAAAGAGTGAAGGAGACATGGGCCTCCTGGACTTCAAATCTCATGCCCAGCATATATGGGGAAAGTCATTCCTGAAGCTAACACAGATGCACATGTGCTGCCCGACCCTAGCATGGGGCATGAACTGGGCAAGAGCCCAAGGCCTCCATAAGCCAGTCTCCCCCCAATCAATACATGAATGGATGGTGAACCACCCACGGATAAACTCCCAAAAAGGTACTCCACACTACTGGTGACTATGCAATCAGGCCATGTGCCAGGGTGGATGGTCATTTAAGTGATTGGACTGAGAAGCTGACCAAATTCAAAGGGATGTTAAAGTATATAATTCTGCAATGATTACTTCAACAAGCTGGGAGGAGCATAACTGAATTTCTGACAAATATGCAACCAAGTTGATCAGAATAAGGTACAAATTGATTCTGATAGAATATGGGGATCCACTCCTGAAACTGGGGTGCAATCTGCCCACCCATCCACAAATTCTAAATGACTGGACTACTGAAGGCCATGACACCAACTACCTGATGAAGGAGTTGATTTTGGACCTGAACTCCCACTTGGTAACAGCAAAACAGTGTTTGGTAACCTGGCAGATCCTAAAAAGGGTATTCAAATTGGGGTAAGCACAGCAGGCCAGACTACCAGCACAAAGAATGCCCCATATGCACTGAACTGGAAGCAGACATAGCCCAGTGATACTATGAATGCGCTGTGTTTAAAAATACTGGTCTACGATGCACTACATCCTATCAGGTGAACAATCGCCACTGAGAATACATCCATCACAGAGCCTTTTCTTTATGAAAACCCTGAGAATGGCTTTGATCCAACTATGAGCCTTCATTTACCATTATTGTGTATGGATAATTCACTGTGCGCTCATTGCCAAGGTTATGAGCAACGAGCACCCCACCACAGAGGTTTGGTATTAAAGACCATTCAGATTATTTCTGATTAGCTCTGTTGGATCTCAAAATTTTTGTGCATAATCTATGGGTGTTATAAAGCCACACGTTTGGCTTTCTCTGCCAGATTGCTCATTGCACATGATGAGGCAACTAATTGACTGAGTATCAAATGGCCTGTAAGCCCACCAATACTAGAACTGTGGCTAGTGATGGTGATCACCAATCAGCAATGGTTGGAGGTGCTAGAACTCTAGCAGCCCAAACCCCTGGTCCTTTTTACCCTTGACTGAATCACCTGTATTCCGCCCTCCCCTCTTACTTTCCCTTAAATTTATTTTAATAAAGTATGGAGTTTTTTTGTTAATATAAATATAGTGTAATAGTTAGCACACAGGATTTTGACTCCTGTAATCTGAGTTTGATCCTCAATATGACCTAAAAATTGTCAATTTTTTTATAAAAAGAACTGACTGATAATTCAATTAGATGTTTTAAATAACATTTTGTACTTGTTATATAAGCAAGTATATAAGTTATAGCTTCATAATATCAGTTTTTCTTTTATACACTCTAGTATTAAATTTATTAATATTATCCAAAAATCAAATTACTTTCATTGATACTATAAACAGAAAAAAAGATAATTTACAATACTTCAACATAATCCATGTCATTATTTTATAAATATCTTAGAACTTAGTGGTATTAGAAGTTCAAAGTGAACATTTTCCCTTGTAAATGATAAAAAGATTTAGGATAGATATAAACTTGTCTATCAGTTTCTATTATGATTATTATATAGTTGGGATAACAAAAGTAAAATGGTGGATGGCCTAAATAAGACTACCTACTATTGCCAGTATATGTACAATAGTTTATTTAATGTAAGATAGATAGGGATGGGCATAGAAAGTTCTCAAAGAGTAAAAGTAAAATAAAAATACCAGTTGATAAATTAAAATGTGCATATGAGCATTTCAAAACAAAAAATCTAATGAAAATACAACCAACCAGAGAAAATGGTAAACTGCTAATCTATCATGGTAAAGGGGGAAGAGACCAGGAGCTATTGTGGTATCTACACCTATACCACATCTGATTCTGATTAAGGTATATAGCAAATAAATGGAGCGTCTGCATAATAAGGTGTCAGATATGCAAAAGGAGTTAAATACAAATTAAGCTATATTGAGGAACTCAAAATGATAAGCGGGTGATGTTTAGCATTTATGCAAGTATTAGTGTTATGGTTGGATGACATTATAGTAGGAACATATGCTAGAGATAAGACTGGGTGACAGGAGGCCCTGAAGGTGAAACTTCAGGCTCTTCCTGACCTAAAACACACCTTAGATCAACGCTGGGTGCAAGCCAAGCGTGCCCAGGTTGGTGCTAATGGGGTGCAAAATGCCCAGCCTCTTATCTTGGCTCAGGCCCTAAAATGAATGATTTATGTTATAAACAAAGATGGTTCAATTTGCTTGGTTGAAGAGCAAGGGTTCGAGTCCCACTCTAGCTATAAAAATTTTAAGCTCAGATAAAATATAGCTTCAATTGATTACTTGAGTGAAGGCACTTTCAGTGTATTTTACTAAAACAGACAGAAGCATCTGTTTATTGGAGCATCAAGGCTTGGGCATACTTCCACAGAACCTGAATTTCCCCAGCCCACTTTAAATATATTTTTGCAACCAACAATCCTTGTTGGTCAACTTTTCTTAAATAAAATACCCATTTTTTACATTTTACTTATGGTTCCTTGGGCTAACCTGGTGGCGGACCTCTTTGAGGAGGTCTCCAACTATGTGGGCCACTACCTTATATCACAATTTACCAAAATCCCAGGTGCTCCCTTGGGTCGCCCAGGTTCCCTCCAGATTGAGGCACCCAAGCTCCCTTACATCAAGTTACACTTGATTATGGACTCCCCTCTGGGGTCAGCTCAAGTTGTTATGTTTCTATCTTACCTGGTCTTATACATTGCATTCTACACCCTGGCCTGAGATACCTTTGGTATAGGCACCGTTTGAGGTGTCTTCTTACCCTTTTTCTTAATGGCTAGTTCCCTAGCATTGTGGGTTTGCATCCCACATCACCTTGTTGAGAACAAGAGAGTTACAGACACTCTCTTGATAATTAGATAGATAGGCTATCATTATAGCATTTTTAAGGTTAATATCTTTGGGATTATACTATGATTTAAAAAACCTTTCACTATAGCAGCATGTGCACATTGATGCAACTTTGTATTTTCAGATTTTGTAGCGTGTAAAAATTCAGAAGGAAATTTAGACTTGGTCAAACCAGATTTCAGCAAGTGGAAAAATTTTAAGGGTGGCCTCACAGAGAAGACTATTTTTAAGTGAAGAATCTGCAGCCATGGTGAGATGTTGGTCATTAAAGAATAGTTTGGTATTCATCTTTTTAACATAATACTTGAGATTGGTATGAGCATTTAGAACAGAATTTAAAAGCTGACCAAGGTTAATTGCTTTGATGGTGAATAAAATAGTTTTACTTAATTTATTAACCTTATCTAATTTCAATATATTTTGGTTAATTTTAATAGAGGCATTGATGTAAAGTTGGAATGTGCAAGAAAATAAGATGACACTTAAGTGGAAACAGTAGCCCAAGCTTGATCCCAATTGGATGAACTCAATTCAGGTTGAGAAGTTTGGTGGAAGATACAGGTGGGAGGTAAACTGTTATGCTGACTTAAAAGATAAGCTAGATGAGTGGGTGGTGGCATCAAAACACCCCATTTAGGTAAAGCTAACGCATTATCAGAAATGGAGCTGAGAGTGGTAAAATCTTTGGTGTGGCAACAAGAATTTTTTAAGTGGTTCATCTCAAAACAGAGAGAACAAATCTGTTTACATTATCGACATGAGCCTACAAGAAATGATCTGGCACTGTGGCAATATGTTTCCATAGGGGGACAACTTGGATGATTCTGTGGTGATGGAATATTATGGTGAAAATGGCATTAGGGGCTGCAAGGTGCTCTGAACCATAGTGAAAAGTGAAGTAAAGATAAGTTTGAGTGATGTAAGCTGAAATCTCTGGTATTAACTTGTCAAATAAAACTTGGGATGGGAGATGTGAAGGGATATTTTCAAATGACACCTCCATTTTGATATCATTGGAAGCTATGTATAAGTGGTGGAAACAGGAGTAAATATAAATTAAATGTGTTTCTGCAGAGGCAGAATAATTCTTCTCTGTTGATAAATCTATATTAAAACAGCCCTTATAAGGGCAAAAGTTAATAAAGCCTGCCAGCACAAAGGCAGATGTGAAAAGCTTAGTACTTGTCTTGTTAACATATGGTAATATGCATCCATGATTAACTAAAAAGGCAAAAAAGATAGTGGAGTGAGGAAGGGCACCAGGGGTACAAGGTGGGTGGATGTTTGCAGGGTGAAATGATAAGTCCTTAAGTGAGACAAAGTGGTTATTACTGTTTTGTAAACTATTTATTCCAGCTCAAATGCATTTACTTGCAAAGTGGAAAACACTAGGGTGGAGTGCCACTGCACATAGTGGATCAGCACCAGCTGTGCTGAGGACGTTAGTGGATTAATGGTAAATGGCAAGTCAGCAGTGGTAATGTTCACTTTTTTAGATAAATAGAGTTGCTAAAAAGTGAATTTGAGCAGAAAGAAAATTATAAGCATAATGGCAAACTCATAAGATTTTAATATCTTATAATATATAAACCAAGATATTATTTGCTACTTATTTGGAATTATAAAATCAAATATAATATCTTTAAAATTATGCCTAAATTAGGATTGTGTATAGAATTTATCATATTAACATCCTTCCATATCAAAAATTCTTTACTAAGTTATTATTGCTAAATTTGTTTTAGATTTAGAATGGTGTACCCACATCAATTACATTGTTATCACAGTTATATTTTGTGTAATAGATAAAAAGGTGATATATTAATATTTAATTATTTTTTCTATAGTTATAAAGGTTTTTTTTATTTTAAGTGCAATAGAGATATTAGTTTGACCTTAAAACAGGTATTTTATAGTATTAAAATCCATGCACAAATATTTAATACATCTCATTATATACTTTTTTTAGTACTAGATGGTCCCAACCTGAGGGGGGGATTCATCGACATCTCATTATATACTCATATATCTATTTTGGTATTTTTAGCTAAATTTTTAGTATAAATGTCCTTGCCACAAAGCTTGTGAAAGAAATGTAAAAATTTTAAATAGAGCATGTACAAAGAAGTCTTTGATATATCAGGATTTGTCACTTTTATTATAATGAAATAATATAATGATAGAAAAGTGTAAAACGAGTTAACAAGATAATCAACTAGAAGGGAGGATACCCCAGTGGTAGAGTATGGACCCTCTACCACTGCCTCCCGAGTTCGATCCCGGTAATGGACTTTGGGTAGGGGACGATTTTGACTGTGTTGGTTTTGTGCGCCAATGTCCCGAACCGAGATAGCGAATAGCAAAGGCGGTCCATGGAGTTCCTGGCCTATCATACGCCGCGCATGGAGGTTTTCTGGGTTTTATCCTCCTTTTCCTATTTTCTTCACTTCCCTAATCGGTGCAGTATGTCCCCAGGTCAGCCCACCTCGAATAAAAATTTAAAAAGATAATCAACTAGTTTTGTCAATGATTTTGACATCAAAACAGCTATTGTTTTTCCTTGTAATGATAAATTTATAGTCATATCTAAGAAATATATCAAAAATCCTGTATGAAATAAAACCATTGATAAACATAGGTTCATATTAGAATCATTATAGTTATATTGTCATGGCTTTCAGTTATGACAAGGTTGAGTTATCAAGTCAAGTGTTATCCTTATATAAATTAGAAGGTTATTAATTTTATTATATATATGATGCTAATCAACTAAAAAACCAAGTTTGCAGTGCTAGTAAAAATATTCATCTTAAACTAAAACTAATTAACTATAGATATTTCTTAAGTCTTAACATATTAGGGGTGGTTAGCCGTGCAGGTAAAACTGCTTTCACCCTAGTGCAAGTTTTAAGTTCAAAACCTGTACTGGTTATAAAAATTCTTGGTGTGGTATATTTATCCCAAGGTTGACCCACCTCAAATATTTGTTAGAATATTTGTTTAAAGTCTTAATATATTATTTTATAAAGCTGGTCTTAATGTTAAGAGTATGTTTAAAACTTATATCTAGCATTATTTATAAAAAGAGAATATATAATAAATACTACTTATTCTGTAGTCAATATAATAAGTAAAAGCAAATGAGGCAGGTCACCTTGGAACAAATATACCATGCTATTATTTTTTTAGCCTGAGCTGGGTTTGAACCTGTTTCAATCAAACCTGACCAAGAGTGGAACAGGAACCACCCCACTATGCTATCCACTTCTTAGTATAATAAGTAGTTGTTCTAGAAAAGGTTAAATATC